TCATTTTATTGTGCTTCACTTTACTGCACTTCACAAATACTACATTTTTAAAAAAATAATTGCATTTTTTATAATTTGAAGGTTTGTTGCAACCCTGCATTGAACAAGTTGGTGTCACTTTTCCAACATCATTTGCTCACTTCATTTCTGTGTCACATTTTAATGATTCTTGCTAATATTTTAAACTTTTTCATTTTATTTGTATGGTGATCTTTAATCAGTGATCTTTTTTTATCAAAGTGTAGCTGGCACACAATATTACATAAATTTCAGGTATACAACATAGTGATTCAACAAGTCTATATGTTATCTGTGCTCTCAGCAAGTGTAGCTACACCATCTGCCATCATACAAAATATCTAATCAGTGATCTTTGATGTTACTATTTTAATTGTTTTGGGACACCAACTGCTCCCATATAAGATGGCAAACTTAATCGATAACTGTTGTGTGTTCTGACTGCTCCACTGACTGGTCGTTACCTGTCTTTGACCCTCCCCTTGGGCATTCTTATTCCTTAAGACACAATATTGAAATTAGGTCAATTAATAATCCTACAATAGTCTCTAAGTGTTCAAGTGAAAGGAAATATGGCTCTCACTTTAAATCAAAAGCTAGAAATGATTATGCTTAGTGAGGAAGGCATGTTGAAAGCTGACATAGACCAAAAGCTAGGCTTCTTGTGCCAAAGAGCCACGCTGTGAATACGAAGGAAAAGTTCTTGAAGGAACTTAAAAATTCGACCGCCTTGAAGACATGGATAATAAGAAAGTGAAACAGCGTTATTGCTGATATTGGGAAAGTTTTAGTGTTCTGGACAGAAGATCAAAGCAGCCATAACATTCCCTTCAGCCAGAGCCTAATCTAAAACAAGGCCTTAACTCCCTTCAGTTCTATGAAGCCTGAGAGAGGTGATAAAGCTGCAGAAGAAAAGTCTGAAGCTAGCAGATATTGGTTCACGAAGGACAGAAGCCATCTCCATAACATAAAAATGCAAGGTGAAGCAGCAAGTGCTGATGTAGAAGCTACAGCAAGTTATCCAGAAGATCTAGCTAAGATCATTAATGGAGGCTACACTAAACAGATTTTCAATGTAAGTGAAACAGCCTTATATTGGAAGATGCCTTCTAGAACATTCATATCTAGAAAGAAGTCAGTGTCTGTCTCCAAAGCTTCAAAGTACAGGCCAACTCTCTTGTTAGGGGCCAATGAAACTGGTGACTTCGTGTTGAAGCCAATGCTCATTTACCATTCTGAAAATCCTAGGTTCCTTAGGAATATGCTACATCTACTCTGCCTGTGCTCTATAAATGGAAAAACAAAGCCTGGATGACAGCACATCTGTTTAAAACATGGTTTATTGAGTATTTTAAGCCCACTTTTGAGGCCTACTGCTCAGGAAAAAGATTCCTTTCAAATTATGACTGCTCATTGACAATATATCCGGTCACCCAGGAACCCTGATGATGTACAGTGAGATTCATGTTGTTGTCATGCCTGCTAACATAGCATCCATTCTGTAGCCATGGATCAAGGAGTCATTTTGACACTCAAATCTTATTTAGGAAATACATTTTGTAAGACTGTGGCTGCCACAGGTAATGATTCATCTGATGGATCTGGGCAAAGCAAGTTGAAAACCTTCTGGAAAAGATTCACCATTCTAGATGCCATTAAGAACATTCGTGATTTGTGGGAAGAGGTCAAAATAGCAACATGAACAGGAGTTTGGAAGATGCTGATTCCAATCCTCAAGGATGACTTGGGGGGTTCAAGACCAGCAGAGGAAGTAACCACAATTGTGGTGGAAATAGCAAGAGAGCTGGGAGTGGAGCCTCGAGATGGGACTGCATTATTACAATCTTGTAATGAAACTTGAATGGATGAGGAGCTGCTGCTTATGGATAAGCAAAGAGAGTGTTTTCTTGGGATGGAAATCTACTCCTGAGATGCTGTGAAGATTGTTGAAATGACAACAAATGATTTAGAAGATCACGTAAACGTACTTGATAAAGCAGTGGTAGGGTTTGAAAGGATTGCCTCTTATTTGGAAAGAGATTCTAACTGTGTGTAAAATGCTGTCGATCAGCATCGCATGCTACAGAGAAACCATTCATAAAAGGAAGAGTCAATCGATTTGGCAAACTTCATCGTTGTCTTATTTTAAGAAATTGTTACAGACACCCCACCGTCAGCAACGATCAATCACCCTGATCAGTCAGCAGCCATTAACATTGAGGCAAGACCTGCACCAGCAAAAATAATTACAACTTGCTGGAAGCTCAGATGATGGCGAGCATTTTTTAGCAGCACTTTTATATATAGTTTTTTTTAAAGATTTTTATTTATTTGACAGAGAGAGCCAGCAGGCAGAGGGAGAGGGACAAGTAGGCTCCCTGCTGAGCAGCAAGCCCGATGTAGGACTCGATTCCAAGACCCTGGGATCATGACCTGAACAGAAGGCAGACACTTAACCGACTGAGCCACTCAGGCACCCCTTAGCAATATTTTTAAATTAAGGTATGCACATTGCTTTTAGGCATAATACCACTGCACACTTAATAGACTATAGTGTAAACCTAACTTTTGTATGCACTGGAAAACCAAAAAAATAATTTTTTTTTAGACTATCACCTCATTGTGGTAGTCTAGAACCAAATCCACAATAATTATAAAGTAAATGGATTTTTTTGTGTGTGTCTAAAATTTCATCAGGAAAAATGCCTCCTCTATCCATAGAAGTTGTGATCATTCCATGAAGAGGGATAGTAGTTTCATCCTTCTACACAATGCCACCAGCCCTATAGGTGGCATATAACATAAACTAGCCAAGCAGACTTTTGCCAGAGCTATAGGAAAGATTTTATTTTTGAAGTGGGTGCCAGCTGAAGGGAGTCAAGCTAAAAGGTGGACAGAGTAAGCACTATTATTTGAACCTCCAAATCAAACCACACTTTCCTGAGCTTTCCATATTCAAGCCAAAAATAATTTCCTCATTTTGTTTAAGCTGGTTTGATTTGGGTTTCTCTCACTTAACACTTAAAGAGTACTAATGCAAAATTCTTTTCTAAAATATCTTATTTCTTTGGACTACTTAAATTGAGACTACTGAATGTAGTCTATTACCTGTATCCGTCACTTTCATATTACAGTCTACTAGCCCCAACTGTAAAATGGGAGTAACAGCATCTACTTTAGAAAAAATTTTATGAGGAGCTAAAGCACATGCATAAAAACCCCAACTGCTATGCCTGGCATTCAACAAATATCACTTCTCTTCCCTGTTTCTCCATTACCTTTCCAAAACATCAACAGCAATAATCTGAGCCTTTATAATTCTGTTTTTCACGTATCAACTCATTTAATATATGCGATCACCATGAAGTAGGTACTATCATTAGCCCCATCTTGTAGAGGGGGGAAAGGAGATGCAGAGAGGTTTTGTAGCTTATCCAAGGATACACACATTGTGCGAAAGCTGGGGTAAAATTATCACATTATGCAATCATAAAGTCCTGCGTTTTCTGTATTTCATTTTTGCTGTGAGGCTTACTGCACAGTTAATGATGAATAAAGCAAGGAAAGTTCTAAGTGCAGACCTAAGGGGCACAATATATTTAGTACAGATGTTTTAAGATAATTTGGAGGGTTTTTTTTTTTTGCTTGTTACCTTGTATAAAGTGTAGTGTCAATATACGTACATACTTATGCTCTATTTTTCAATTATACTCTAAAAGAACCTCAATCAGCAATGAGAACAGCTAATGTTTACTGAGCACTTATAATGTGCCAGGCACCCTGCCAAGCATTAACTTAAGTATTTCCTTCATCCCTCATAATCACATGAAAAAGTATTAAGAGCAGTAACAGCTGAGTAGACCCAAGGACAGTGAGAGAGCGGTGGGCGGGCAGGGAGGGAAATGTGTACAGTCTGGCCTACTGGGCTCTGCATTCACTGTGAGGGCAAGGGCAGGGTCTATCTTACTCTCCTGGCACCTACTATATGCAGAGCACCCAGTTAATGAATGAGTATACGCTCTTTACTAAAAAAGAGAGCACTTTGAAATGATATAAAAGGTGACTTTAATGTGAAAGGGGCATTTGTTGTGTAGAAAGGAAAAAGCTTTAAAGGCAGATCTTTTCTTGACAATTTACAGTTCCTTTTTTAATCCTAAAAACCCCACATTGTCACTGTAACACAGATCTCCCTTCCCCTTTTCATCAGGCAGATCTGCATTCTGTATCCAACACACACCCAACCAGGGAGACCAGAAGGTGAGCATGTCTGATAGGAGATGGAGAGGAGGATCATTTGAAAAATAGCAAGTCAGCCATGAAATAAGTTTATTTTATGATTCAATTTAATCCTCCTTACCCCCACCTTTTTTATATTATGAGCAATATATGCCATTAGTATAGCTATTAAGGGTGAAAGGATTAATTAAAACTATAATTATCTGATAAGACAAGCATACTGTTGAGCCTGATTTAGGGCAAATTCATCTACTTCAATTAAAAATACTGGACAGGAAAAAATAAATAAATAAAAACTATGCAGGTCCTGTTTCTACCATGAATTTCCTAAATGACCTAAGGTATCATTCAAACAAAGAGCCGTAGTGTGTTTTTAGTTTTTATTAGTTAACAGTTCTTAGTACAAATAACAAATTTAACTTGACATTTAGAAAAAAAAATGATTTACTCTGAGGTTTGTTCATAAAGAAAAACCTGTTCTGTACACTTTAAATTTTAATGTCTAACACCATAATGCTTCTAAGTCTATAACTTAATTTTAGGTTTAATTTTAATAATTCTGTCCTACTATATCTGATGAAAGAGACTAGAAAACATTATGTAGGAAAAAAGCAAGAGACTAATTAAAGACCTGAATATAAAACTTCTACTAAAAGGCTTTTAAAAAGCCTCTTAAAACAATCTAAAAATCAGAATACTTTTGGCAGAAAAATTAGCAACTATGAACAAAATTAACATTACATAATATTTTATCAAGAACTACATTACAAATTGTGGTTTACAGATATCAGAATGATTTGCGGGATACTAAAAGCTTATTTATATCAGACATAAAAATCTCTTTGCTAAAACAATTTTTAAATGTAGTTTAGCACTTTTGGGAGACTCAGTTCCCAATGAATGACAGTAACACAATTTAGAAGACAATAGATATTCTATCTTTTCATTAGAGACCTATCCAGGTAAGTCTTGCCAAACAGTTATGAACTTATACTCAATAACAAGCATTAAGAACTCAAGATAAAACAGTAACTCCGGTCCCCTCATCAGTATATATGCTTGGCATCAGAAATCATACTATTAGTGAATACATACTAAATTCTGGGGGTGGGGGGGAAGCTCACTTTAGAATTAAGTGTCAATCTACATTTTTTTATGCTTTCCCTGATACACTGTTTCTCCCACTCTTCACTTTAACAGTGTTTTCTCCTCGGTTGGTGGTATATTACTTCTTAAAGACCAATCATACCCAACATAATCCAAGGTCATCAACTCCTTTGTAGCTGAAGTAAACTACAAACAGCAGAAAACCAACACATTTCAACAGAAAAACATCTGCCCTACTCAGCAAGGCAGAAGCCCCATCTCTAAAACATTTTTAAACAATGGTTGCTTTAAAATTAGTCCTATAAGCACAATAGTATTACACTATCATTATCATTGGTTTTGATAGCAAGTTCAAACCTTAAAAATATATATTAAAAATTTCCAAGTTAGATTACTCTGGAAACATAACTGAGTTGAAAAATCTTTCTATATTATTAGGATGAAATTTCTTTAATTTCATGTATTTGGGTATGAGATTTCATACCCAGTCACTGAGATACAGAGTGTAAGAGGAAAAGAATTACTGATTACCACTGTACCCAAGTCTCCAGGAGCTATGACAGAGGAATTATCCAAGCAGACAGACAAATGTCTCCTGATCTCAACCTAATATGTTAGCAGAGTTGTAGGCAAGCGATTTAATGCATCTCTTAAGTGGGAAATCCCTATGTTGTCACAGCTTCCACTTAAGAGTAGCTCAACTATGCTATGTGAGAAAGGGACCCCTGTCCACAGAGGACAGGGCTCCTAAGTAGCACCAGTGCTCCACCATCTGGGAGCTATCTTCCCAACGCAGAGCCTCACACCTTCAATTTCCACTCGACAAGACTATATTTACTTCAATGAGGACATGACCAAAAATAAGTAAATAAATAAATAGGGATAAAAATAGGAAATAAATATGAACTCCAATGGAGTAAAACTTCCTATAGAGCTGATTAAGAGGTAAAACCTATTTGTAAATAAAAAGCCAAAACCAAGCAAAATACATCTGTTTTTGGGTTCATTCAAAAGTCTCCTTCATTCTTAGCAAACTATGTGGTGAGATATGATCTACTTCTTTCCATTTACACTGTATTTGTCTATTAAAAATCATTCCTTAATAAGGACTTTTTAACATTAAAAATTCTAAAGGTTTATAATAAATATTGTATTAAAATATTTTAATATTTACAATTGGAAAAATGTATACTGTAGTCAGTCATCTCAGGGCTACTTCTTCAATTTCATCTTCTACAGATTCCACTGCTTTTACTGCTGGTTTACTGTTTGCATGTTTTAATCGGTGTCTATTTGGATTAAAACTTCTTCCTTCACTGAGGAAAAAGTCATCATCTTCATCACGTTCTCTATCCCCGCTGCTCTTATCCCCTGGGAGAAAATTTAGAGGGTCAAGGTCTCCTTTGCTGGCAGCCCGAGAATTTGCGTCACTGCTTTTAGAGGAAATGGTGTTGCTGCCACTGGCACCAAACAGCTGTTCCATCAGATTAGCTTTTTTCTCTCTTCTTGTAATTAAATCTACACTGTCTTTACTATGTTTCTCTATACTGTTTCTTTGGACATCCACAAGGCCACTCTTTTGGCTAAATGGATTTGACTTCCCTGATGTTTTCGCAAATGAAGGCACATAGCTGCCAAATGCAAGCTCATTTGGGAAGGCTGGGCTTCTAGTATTTCCTGGATTCTGACCATCTCCTTTTGGAGTGAAAAGGCTGATGTCTTGCAGATGATGCCCATTAGATACTCTCTCTGAGGATTCAGAGAACATGTATGTTTTGGGGCTTCTCTCTGGGGAATGCAGTTTTGATTCCAAATCAGGAAGCAATGGCAGAGGAGGGCATTTTATATTCCGAGAATCTTGGAGTTCTCTGTTGATCTCATTCAGTTTAGCAAGTAGCATTTCTCTCTTTAGCCTTTCTTCTTCCTCTTCTTCCAATTTATCAATATTTTGAATTTGGTACATTTCCATTTGGTATCTTCCAGTTTCCAATGTGGGCTTTTCTTCTCTCTCCAGCAAAGATATCTTGTCTTTTTGCTTTTTAGCAAGTTCTTCTCTTTCCCATTCTGTATGAAATCAAATTTAAAAAATGGGATTTTACAGCAGTCATTATTTTTAAGTAGGAAAACTTGATTCTCATCTGTTACAAAACAGTCTATCTAATTTAGTTATCAGTACAGTGAGAATGAACACCATAAATTTCATTGCTACACTTGATATTCTGGAATTCAGAAAGAATATACTTAATGTGTATTGCATTTAAAATTCACATTTATAGAAAAAATTTTGTTCTTCAGTGTAGAGGTAATTGGAAGAAGGTTCTCTCTTTTTTTATACCTAGTATAGTACTGTACACTGAATGGATGTACACTGAAGAGATGGATGGAGTTTATTTTAAACTTAAACTGAACCTCTGGGTGTCCTACCCTGAGAAGGACACAACATCACTCATTTGGTATTCTGACTCAAGATACATTAAGTTGAATCTAATTAAGAGAACACTTCAGATAAACCTCAAATGAGGAACATTCTATTTTTTGAAAATGGGTCTTTATTCATCAAAAATGTTAACCTCAAAATATTTAGAGAAGACTAAAGAGATAGGAGAACTAAATGCAATTCATGATCATATCCTGGAGAGAAGAAAATGCTATAAAGGACAATACTACATCAAATAATAAAACTAATATGGACAGCAGATTAGAGAAATGTGTTGTATCAAAGTTAAATTTTCTGAAGTTGCAAACTATACTGGAATGATGTTAGAAAATGTCCTTATTTTGTAAAAGTACACATGCAAGTATTTTAAGGTATGGGCATGAGATATACAACTTATTCTTAGTAACTTTAGTAAATGACATACATTCTCACTGATGTTTGAGATCATTATTCCATACAAACTCCAGGAAAAAAAATAAAGATGAAAAGAAGGGGCCAGTCTTCTGTTACTTTATTCCTTTTCCTGGTACCTAGGAAGACCACAGTACCTTTCTATTCTGTTTTATTAATAATGTGAAAGAATCTCCCTTTGTGCCTTAGCCAATAGTAATATATCTTCTATTTCAACTGTTACATTGTTTTAAGTACACACACACAAATATACATTCACTAATTTAAGCAACAATTTGGTCATAATTTTACGTTCCATTAACTTTAAGGAAAAAAAGGATTTCTCTGCAAGAAGCTTCTATAAAACTAATGAAATATATATAGAGGATTAGAGTCAGGGATTCCTCTTACCCATACCTTTAAGACATTTTATCCAGATGGAAATGAATTTATTCCTGAACTTCATTTTCAGTATCTGAAACTATGTGAGTTGGTTCACTCAACTTCCACACTATTGGTTAAACATGTTAAAGATTTACTTTCATACTAAAATGAAAGAAAACTTACAGGAATATATTTAGGACCTCACAATTCATTGATTTTAATGTTTGGGCTAGTCTACAGAGTCTCAAGGTCAAGCCAATAGAGTGCATTATTGTCTTTCAGTTATCTCTTCATCAAGCTTTAACTAACATACACACAAAAATTTCCCCTTTTATCTGAATTTTACTTCATCTGAATTTTCTGAAGGTAACTTGTCCTTATTCCCTAACCCCAAACAGCAACTTAACCATATGTTTTTCTTTCCTTAGTAACTTTATTCAAATGTTTGTGATTCCTAATAGACCATCCCCTACCACTTTATCAACCTTTTGTTATTCTGTATAACCAATTCATTGTTCAGCTGGAAAATATCAGGGGATGCTAACCCTTTCTTTCCCAAAGGATGCTGATTCATCACTTGATAAAACAAACTCTTTCTTACCATCTTCCAGCTTTTCAACCTCCTGATTTACAACATGGAGTCCTTGATCTTTAAAAAATTTTTCTTCTCTTTTCACAATTGGGTTTAGAATCCCTGCTTCTTCATGTTTACCTCTCTCTTGCAATTCCAGGTCCTATTACATATTTTTTTAAAAATGCAAGTTCACAAAAAAAAATAAAAAAAATAAAAAAAATAAAAAAAATAAAAAAAATGCAAGTTCACATGTCAAAAGGGGGAAAAGCTATTTAAATATCATAGAGTCATCTCCCATTAAATATGACACCAACTAAGTTAGAAATTAAAGCAAATTTTAATTTAATAAAGCAGTAAGTCACAAGCTACCTACCCTTTGAGAGATATTTTAAAGGCACACATGATTATTTACTTAAAAATTTTTTTTAAAAGTATAACACATATCAGAACCAATATCATGGAATTAAAGCCAATACCCTACATAAAATTCTTAAGAGACATGTTTCAGAAGTATCCTTGCTTTGTACGTTTCACAACAAAATCTGATTAATTCAGTTAACGAGGAAAGGTTATTAGCCAACTATGGAGGCCACATGAGAAGGCGCTGAACTATAATACAGGCAACTGCACTGAATCTTTCGAGTTTATACTTACTGTGTCCAAAGCCTCCAGTAAATTTTATATTTAAATCAAAAATGAAAACTTAAAATTACTTTTATATGGTCCCTTTCACGTGTATAATTTTTCTGAATAAAAGAAAAATACCTATTATTAGTACAGCAGTGGATTGTCCCCTAGTATCAATTTTCCTCTTCTTCCTTTTAGTTACAGAATCCCTTGAGTTTTAGCAGGGTTTAAGGCTGCTCAACTGGAAACTACATTTGCTAGTCTCCCTTGCACTTAAACAGGACCAAAGAGATTTGAGTGAAAGTATGTATGCAACTTCTGATCACATTTATAAAAATAAAAGCTGCTTGCCCTCCACTTCCTTGTTCCTCCTTCTCACAAAGGTGGTGAGCCAGTTCTAACCATACAGAGGAACCGTACACTCTTTAAGATGGAAGAACAGTAAGACAGAGGATGACTACCAAGGAACAAAGCTGTCTACCTATAATGGACTACCCACTGACCTTCAATCTATTAGAAAAGAAAGAAAACTTGTATCTTTCTTGAGCCACTGTATTCTGGGTCTCTTTCCAACAGGAAATTTGCTTGCACTTTAACAATGTTCCCTTTTGCTGAGACCCTTTAAAGTGGCAGGATCAGTCTTAAGAACTTTATAAACTGTGTGATTAGTTATTACTACAACCTGATGCACAGCCCATCCTTGTTTTATAGATTAGGAATTGGGGATCCAGGAAGTCACACATGTCAGAGCCAGAATTTAATTAAAAAGGCAGTGCTAACTCCAAGGCTATACCCTTTCACTGTATCAGGTTGCTGCTCCTCATGCTGCATCTTACAAAGACCATTTTTTTAGTCCTTTTAAAGTTAAGAATGACTTTGCTATTTCAAAAAGACAACATGATTTAGTTTCAAAGACAGTGAAAATATAGGAAGAAAGAAACTTAGCAGATACAGCTACTCAGGAACCCAATCAGACCATCTTTTCTCTTTTATACCACAAGAAAAAAATCTCAGGGTCACTGGAAAATCTATAAGGCACAAAAACACAGGAATATATGAGATATGCTGGATCCCTGGCATATTGTTTTCTTTGGAATTTAAAACTATAAATACAAAATATAGAACCTTTTAGACAAAAGAACATTGTGGTATTCTGTTTAAAAGTCCTTTTAAATGAAGGCCCAACACAGACTCCCCTGAATGTCACTCTAATTTGAATAGTCTGAAGTCAGATTCCACTGCAATACTTTGCTCAACATTCAACTAATCTGTAAAATTCTCAAATAGGAGACCAAAAAATATGTAGATAAATCCTAAAAAATTATTTGAAAACTAGTAAAATTTGCTAATAAGTGTAAAAGCAAGGAGGGTTTTTAGAAATTATCTGGGTACATAAAAGGTAAGAACCTCTATTTCTGGGACACCTGGGTGGCTTCAGTTGGTTAAGCATCTGATTCTTGATTTCAGCACAGGTCATGATCTGAGGATCGTGAGATCGAGCCCTGCTTTGGGCTCTGCACTGAGCATGGAGCCTGCTTAAGATTCTCTCTTTCCCTCTCCCACTGATCTCTTTCTCTTGAAAAAAAGAAAAAAGAAAAAAATAAGAAAAACCTCTATCTTCAACCCAGAAGGTACAACTAACCTTCCTGAAGCATCTGGAAGATGCAATAAAAACTAAGAGTCAATCCAAAGGAATTTAATAAAATACTCTCTTTAGAAGGCTACTTGCATATTTACACAAATACAGTACTGATATTGTTTTTGGGAATAACTTCAAACCTAGACTTTAGTACCTAATCATGTTGCTAAACTCACCAAAGTAAGATGTTCAGGTTCTTCCCAACTGTTTTCATAACACATAACCGTTTGTGGTGTTATAGGAAATTCTTCCAGCTCCACGTCTTCACTGGTTTGTACTCCTTTTGTACACTGGTTCGTAAAATCACTCTGGCATGCAGCTACCATGAAAATTACAGAAGTCTTCATTGAACAGTGCTAAGATATATGGAATTTAACTGGTATATGTTTGCCATCTACCTGATATAATGCATGTTTTGCTCAGCTCTATGACTAGTACTATCTTTTTTTTCTAGGATTTACTGGCAATTATGTAATTTGAGGACAATTTAGACAGGTAAACCCTGTTAAAGTCTGTTTTTAACTTTCTGCAATTCAGAAGAGGAAAATTTATACTTTTATTTAAAAAAAAAAGTAAAGATATGCATAATAATACCAAAGTATTTATGAGTGAAATGAAATGACAGCTGGGATTTACTTTAAAATAGTCTAAAAAAAAAAATACTCGAAGTAGAAAAAAATAGATGAAATAAGATTAGTAAAATATGTAACTGTTAAAGCTAAGTGATAGATAAATAAAGGTTCCTTAAAATATAATCAAGTACCAGTTTGGAGTCTTATTTTTATAAAAGTTTCAAAAATTATTAAGAAAAAATTTAAACCTTAGAAAAAATAGAAGATTGACATGATTTCTGAAAATTAACTATAAGGAAATTTAAATTTACTTCAGTGAAGTTCTTTCTCCTTCCTTCTACTTTAGAATTATTTGATTTTATTATTAATAAGTGACAACTACAATGTTTTTCAATAATAATAGCTACTATACCATTTTTTCTTGATCTAAGTTCTTTTTCTTTCTTTGGAGAAGACTTTGGTAGCCGATTAGAATATATGTTTTTTATATCCAGTTCTCTCTCCTTTTCCTGAAAAGTAACCCAATACAATTAAGGATGTAGAGTATGAGTTTAAAATAGAACAGAAAAATTCTCACCTTGCCAACTGGTATTTTCCTTACCAAACTGGAATATATTATACCTAGTTCAGTTTCCCTTCTTAATTACTGAACTATAGAAAGGAATATCTCTAGGACATCTAGGTTAGGGCAGTGATTCTCCCTAAAAAGTGCAATATGTACTGGCAAACAAAAAAAATTAGAGTAAATAAGACAAAATTCATTTTCTACCCATTCCTACCTAATAGAGCTAGTAAGGTCTGAAGACTGTCTTCCAAGCTTGGCAACAGAGACCAAAATAATTTCATTAGCATCTTTCAAACATGGCCTTGGAGTTACTGACAAGTTAAAAATTGGACTTTTTAAAAACACAGTGTTCTTTTATCATTTTGAGGCTATGGTTCCTAGAATTTGATTAACAAAAAATTCTATGTAAGATAATGCATGAACATTCAATTTTGCACAAAATTTCCACCCATCAACGACCTCTGGATAGAATTAAGAACACCTTTAACAAAATTAAATAATGTGAATGCTTCCTCTCAACACTGTGAAAATGAAGGGCATTATTTGAAACAACTTTTAAAATAATCCTAGGGTTATCTGAGAAGAACACTGGGATATTTAATCACGCAACAGAGAAAAACTCCAGTTCCCATAATTCCTTCCAGGATTTCATAACTTATTTTAGTTATATCAATTCTATTAGGATTCAATGTGTCACTTTTGGCATTTGTCACAGTGATTATATCAACAAAACTTCTCTTTAAAAGTACCAAAGAGAATAGAATTTTGTAAATTACATTGTCCCAACTTACAAATATGAATGTTTTTTACAATGCTGAATGTTCAATATATTTTATATATATATATTATCCATTAAATAAATAAACACATACTTACTTTTAATTTGTGATACAGTTGTTGTAGCTCCTTTTGAAGGACTTTATTTTCATCATGAGCCTCATATGCCCTTTTCCTTTCAGCAAGCAACTGTCTTTGGAAACTGTTAGTACTCAGCTCAAGGTTTTTGGATAGTTCCTATAATGTGTATATAAACATATAAAAAAATAGTACTTGAAAATAACTGAAGAGTAAAACACTGCACTCAGCACTGAAATAATGTTTTTAGTAGTACCATAAAAGACCTACAAATCAGGCTGCACTTAGTGTTCATGAACATAAACTGGAAAACAGATCTATCAACAATTTAGTAAGGTACTTAGCCTATTATTCCTTATTTTGCTTTTCACAATGATTTGCAAATAAATCCTTAAGCATTTGCCTGAAGCATACATGAACAGTCATTTAAGTTGGTTGTAAATTCAGCCAAAGCATGTGATGAGAAACACTGGCTTTTGGGAATCATAGTTCAGGCAAATATATACCAAGGCAGCTGCATAAAACTACACAGCACTATTCAAGGTGCAGAGATTACTTTGTAAAACATTTCTAGATAAAAATAATAGTCATTTCAATGGTCTTCAAATGTTTTCCATAAAGTTTGTGAAAAAATTTAGGTTAAAATCTTTTCTTTTAGGTGACATCAACATCATGGTGGCATGAGTCATTCCTTTTTTCCCCACCTTTCAATTTACAACTAATCAGATCCATAAAACAAACATCTATAATTAAACTAAAGCACTTCTGCACAGCACACCAGCATACCTGAGAGAACCATCCATCTCTGCACCTGAAAGTGGGTGGACTGGACATCAGAGGAGGCTATGGAGCCAGGGCTGGTGGTACAGGTGGCAGAGGTGGTGGCAGGCCCATATGACCTTTCTGGCAGAGGAGGCGGAGGGTAAAGGTGGTAAGTGGGAATCTGCCCAGCCACATGTGCGGCAGTTGGAGGGACTCACTCTCTGAGAGATCGCAGTGACTAAGGGGAGGAGAAGGAAAGGGAAGGAGGCAAAGAGAACTGAAGGAATGAAGGAATACCATTTCCTGGGCTGTATACCCAGGATTCTGACAAGAGATCATCCATGAATCTCTGGGAGACATCCCCCAACTCAAGGATCCCCTACTGGGAAATGGGCACAGCCAAAGAATTAAGTGGTAAGCACACACCTCCCTCCACTCTGCCACCACACCTCTTCTTTCCCATCCATCAGCTTTTTTTAATTGTATAATTTTTTTTCTCATATGCATTTTATTTGAAGGCCCCTGATTTTCTCAGTACTGTTACATGTATATAGCCTTCTGGTCCCTAGGGATGGCTTAAGGTCTTTAAATAGCTCAAGGAACAATTGGGAACTTGAGCACTAACTAGATATTTGAAAATATTAAAAAGCTGTTAATTTTTTAGATGTTATTCTTGGTATCGGTTAATGGCATTGTGTTTTTAAAGTCTATATTTTAGAGAGATACAAGGTGAAATATTTAGGAATAAAACAATAGGATATTCAATATCTACTTCCAAATAATACAGAGAGGTGGAGGAGAGTATATATGAAAAAATATTTTTTATAAGGTGACATTTTTTACTGAAGTACAGTTGACCCACAATGTTAGTTTCCAGTGTACAACATAGTGATTCCACAACTCTATACCTTATGCTGTGCTCACCACAACTATAACTAACATCTCACCATACAATGCTATTATAGTATCACTGACTACATTCCCTATGTTTTGTCTTTTATTCCCGTGACTTACTCATTCCACAACTGGAAGCCTGTATCTCTACTCTGATTCACTCATTTTGTCCATCTCACCACCACTCTCCCCTCTGGCAAAAATCAGTTGGATTTCTGTCTTTATGGATCTGTTTCTGCCCTCCTTAAGCCCCATCACCTATTTAACCCATCCCCCCCAAGCCACCCCCTTCAGTAACCCTCAATTTGTTCTCTATAGTTAAGTCTCTTTTATGGTTTGCCCCCCCTCTCTTTTTTCCCCTGTTCATTTGTAAATGGAATTGTTTTCTTAATTTCACTTTCTGCTACTTCGTTATTAGTGTATAGAAACACAACTGACTTCTATTAATTTTGTATCCTGCAACTTCACTGAATTCATTTATTACTTCTAATGGTTTTTGGCGGAGTCTTTAGTGTTTCCTACATATGATCATGTCATCCGAAAACAGTGACAAGTTTAACTTTTTTCTTACCAATTTGGATGACTTTTATTTCCTGTCTAATTGCTATGCCTAGGTCTTCTAGTACTATGTTATATAAAAGTGGCAAGAACAAGACATCCTTGTCCTGTTATTAATCTTAAAGCTGTTTTGCCCCGGGTATGATGTTAGCTCTAAGTTTGTCATATATGGCCTTTATTATGTTGAGTTATGTTCCCTCTACACCCACTTTATTGAGAGATTTTATCATGAATGGATGTTGAATTTTGTCAAATGCTTTTTCTGCAGCTATTGTGCTGATTATATGATTATTATCCATCACTTTATTAATGCTGTGTATCATGTCGACTGATTTTTGAATATCGACTGCCCTGATATCCTGGAATAAATCCCCCTTGATCATGGTGAATAATTTTAAAAAATATATTGAATGCAGTTTGCTAATATTTTATTGAGGATTTTTTGTATCTGTGTTCATAAGGGATATTACTGGCCTATAGTTTTCTTTTTTTGTAGTGCCTTTGGTTTTGGTATCAAGGTAATATGACCTTGTAGAATATATCTGGAAGCTTTCCTAAAAACCTCTTCTATATTTTAGTTTGAGGAAAATAGGTATTAACTCTTCTTCAAATGTCTGGTAGAATTCACCTATGAATTCATCTGGTCCTGGACTTTTATTTGTTGAGTTTTTTAAATTATTAGTAACAAAATTGAATCAGTAATCAGTGTATTCAAATTTCCTATTTCTTTCTGATTCAGTTTTAGAAGATTGTATGTTTCTAGGAATTTATCCATTTCTTCTACATTGTCCAATTTTTTGGTATATAATTTTTCATAGTAGCCTTTCATAATCCTTTGCCTCTGTGGTGTCATTTGTTACTTCTCTTTCATTTCTGAATTTATTTATTTAGGTCCCATCTCTTTTTCTTGGTGTGTCTGCCTAAAGACTTATCAAATTTTTTTTTTTTCAAAGAGCCAGTTCTTGGTTTCATTGATCTTTTCTATTGTTTTTTTAAGTCTCTATTTCATTTATTTCTGTTCTGATCTTTATTATTTTCTTCCCTCGACTGGCTTTGGGCTTCGTTCTTCCTTTCCTAGTTCCTTTAGGTATAAGGTTATATTATTTGAAATTTTTGTTTCTTGAGGTAGGTCTTTATCATTTTAAAATTTCCCTCTTACACCTGCTTTTGCTATATCCCAAAGATTTTGGAACATTGCGTTTTCATTTTCAGTTGCTTCTATGTATTTTTCACTTCCTCCATGATTTCTTTGTTGACCTCTTGATTGTTTCATAACATGTTGTTTAGCCTCCTTGTTTGTGTTTATTCATAATTCTTTTATTGTAACTGATTTCTAGTTTCATATCATTGTGGTCAGAAAGGATGCATGATATGAATTCAATCTTCTTAAATTTATTGAGACTTGCTTTGTAGCCTAATGTGATCTGTCCTGGAAAACGTTTCATGTGTACTTAAAAAGAAATGTGTATTCTGTTGCTTTGCGATGGAATGTTCTGTTAAGTCCATCTGGTCTGTGTCATTCAGGCACTGATTTTCTGCCTAAATGATCTATCCATTGATATAAGTGGGGTGTTAAAATCCCCAACTGTTACTATTTTGCTGTCACTTTCTCCATTTATGTCTATTAGTATATGCTTCATGTATTTAGGAGCTCCAATGTTGGGTGCATAATTACAATTGTTATATCTTCTTCTGGTATTAACCCCTTTATTAGTAGTAATAAGATTAAAAAAAAGGCATTATGTCTATTTTTTTCAAAGGTTTTATTTATTAGAGAGAGAGCATGACTTGGGGGGGCAGAGGGAGGGGGGGCAGAGGGAGAGGGAGAAGCAGACTTCCCACTGAACTGGGAGCCTGATGTGGGGCTGGATTCCAGGACCCTGGGATCATAACCTGAGTCGAAGGCAGACACTTAAATGACTGAGCCACCCAGGTGCCCCTACATGTCTGTTTTAAATTCTACTTTGTCTGTTTTAAGTATTGCTACCCCAGCTTTTTAAATTTTCACTTCCATTTGCATGAAATTATCTTTTCCCCTCTTCACTTTCAGTCTGTGTCTAGATCTGAAGTGACTCTCTTGCAGGCAGCATATAGATGAGTTTTGTCTTTGTATGCATTCCTCCTAACCCCTCCCCACCATGTCTTTTGACTTGAGCATGTAGGCCATTTCAATTACAATAATCACTAATATCTATATACTTATTGCCATTTTGTTAATTATCTTCTGGTTGTTTTTGTAGTTCTTCTGCGTTCCTTTCTTCTCTTTGGGATGGAATGTTCTGTTAAGTCCATCTGGTCTAAGGTCTCTTCCCTTTGGAATGACGGACATTAGTGTTTTGTTTGGCTTACTTTCTCTTCATTTTCTTGTGTATCTATTATAGGTTTTAGATTTGTCGTTACCATAAGGCTCATATATAACATGCTAAGTACATATACCCAGTCTTAAGGTGATGATGGTACTTAAGTTCAAACACATTCTAAAAGAACTTCATTTTTTTACTTCTCCCTCCATTTTTAATGTATATGTCGTCATATTTTACATCTATTTTGTGTGTCCCCTTATTTTTAGTTAAAATTAATTTTGCTATTTTTGTCTTTTAACCTTCATACTAGCTTTGTAAGTAATTGCTCTATTCCCTTTGTTGTGTGTTTGCTTTTATTCATAAAATCTTTTCCTTTTATAATGTTCTTCTAATTATGTCCTTTACTTTTCCACTTAAAGAAGTCCCTTTAACATTTCTGGTAAGGCCATTTTAGTGGTAATGAACTCCTAAACTTCTGTCTGGAAAACTGTTTCTCTCTCTTTCAATCCTTAATGATAACCTTGCCAGTAGAATATTCCTGATTGTAATGTTTTCCTTTCAGCACTTAGGATATATCATGCCACTCTCTTCTGGCCTGCAAAGTTTCTGCTGCAACTTACCTGTACCCAACCTCAGCTTTAG